TGATTTAAAGTTGTAGAAAAAGTGTAACAATACCAGGAAAATCCTGATTTAAAATTATAGTAAAAATCGTACAGTGTTTTGTTTATCAAATAGAAATAAAATTAAAAAAAGTGTTCTTTCAGGAATTAAAATCATAGCAACCTCAAAGATATTCTAAAAGTTTGTATTAAAATTCCAATATAACATCATAATGTTTTAGAGGTATTTTTTAAACCCAACACTTATATTGCTGTACTCCTAATATTTTAAAAAATATTTGAACTATATTTTCAACCAATTTCTTCAAACCATATTTAAAAATCCAACCTACTTTTAAAATTATATTTTTATTAAAAATCTTTCTACATTAATTGCCTATTGTCAAGCGTTTATATTATCTATGATTTTTTTCATAGTATCTTTACTATGCCATTCATAAATATACCAACTGATTCATATCACCCACGCGACCCTCACTTATGCAAATTACAAATGCATATTTAAATGCGTACAAAATTAATTAAACATAAACATAAAAACAAAAGAAACATAAAAAAATGAATGAAAAAAGCAACGAAGCTGAGCTACAGCTTAATCGTTCGGCATTTCCGTTCCGTCCAATTCCACTCAAAATAGCCAGCTTCCACTTCCCAAAAATTAAAATAAATATAAAAAAAAAGAGAACGCAATGTGCAGGTGGTTATGGCCATGAGGGAGCGTGGGCCGGGCCAAGCCGAGTGTATTTCCGCTTGAAAGCGGCAATAACGATATTTGTAATAATAAATTTACGTGAAATATAAAATAAAATCAACGTTGACTCAAGGTGCCCACTCGGCGACACCAACGCATTGTTTGAGGCGTTGCAGACTGAGTTAACAAAACCGGCAACAACACTGAAACCAATAAGAAAATAACATGGCCCAGAAGCTCGGCTTAAACCCGAAGCCCAAACGATGCTCACAATTAGCCAGCTGAGAGAGTTGTTTTCTTTTTTTTTATTCGCTTTCTCAACGCTTTCCCAAGCGGTGGGCCATAAATGGTCACAGACATGTCTCAGAGACTTCCTAAGCGGGATCACCGGCAATTGATTCAGGAGGGGATCAGGGATGGAGGCGGAGGAGCCAATGGTCTGGTCTACCCCGGATCGAACTTGCCGGGCATCGAGCTTTGTGACCATATTAAGGCAAATGCGATTTCCGAAGCTGGCAATTAAAAGCCAAAGCCAAAGTGGAAGCTTAGAACATTTGCATAGGAAATGGTAAGACATGGCAGGTGACACACAGGGGTTTTTCTACTCTCTAAAATAATTTATATAAAAATATTTCAAAGAACATATAATATTTAAAAGAATTTAAAAATAATGACTGTTTCCAACTTGGAGCTATATTTTAATAGATGATATTTAATCCAATCTAAGGTTTAAATCTTGTACTACTATTGTTTTAAAATGAGTGTTAAATATATAAATTGTAAGACATTTAATCAATTTATTGAAGTGATTATTTAAAACTATATTTAAAATCTGATTTACAAATAATTCAAATACATTTTCTCTTAAGAGAACTTTTATTAGTAATACAATTAAATATTCAAAATGATATAAGTTCTCTTTGGAGAATACTAAACAAAACATATATATATATAACAGTTGTCTTTGTTATTAAAAAGCAATAAATATTGCAACAAAAGTCTGTTATTTAATATACTATATTATAATACACTAGTTTTGATAATTGAAATATTCGACAAGAGCAATAAACATTTCTTCAAGAGTCAATAAAAAATCTAATAAAACTTCTTTATAACATATATATTTAAACAAAATCCCTTCTTATTTAAAACCCCCTTTTTCCCCTACACTGCCTTTAAAAGTATGCTGTTTTCAGACCCCCTTTTAGCAATACCTGTGTATTTTTGGATACAACCATAACTTGATCATAAAACAAACATTCAAATGTGACGTTTGTTTTTTTAATTATGGCTCGCTTATTCATGTTCTTGTCTTTGGGAGTCGACATCGTCGACAGATTAAGCTGTCAGCCAAAAAAACACAACACCATTGGCCAATTTGTATATATTTAAAACTATATATAGTATATTCAGTTAATCAAAATTGCGCTTATATATATAATTTTTAGCTCATTTTTGGAACTGCTACGGCGGCATTCGCACGCAAATCAAATTAATGTTGCATGCGTTACTTTTTCACTCTCAACGGCGACCTTGTGCCATGAAAAATGTTTGCTCTTTTGAGGAAAAATTATAATCAAATTTAACTGTTGTCATCATGATTTATTTACCCCGCAAAGAACAAAACACACGACAAACGATGACGGAGTCCCCGGAGTCGGACACAGAAGCAAAAAGATAAATTAATCGTCTGGCAGTCAGTCAGTCAGTCACTCACAGAGTCGATCGGTCTGGTCTATTGCCCAAAGCAAATTACTTACAAGTGCTCATATATTCATACATTTATATGTGTTTATATAGCGATATATCGAAGCCAGCTCAATAGTTTAAGCTGAACTGATTGGAAGCTAAAGTATGAGTATGTCGTCATGGCAAAAACAATAAGAATGAACACAACGGCTGCTTGTTTCGCCTGCAGGAGCAAATCCATTTTGCAATTATTTGCCTGTTGTCAGTTAATTATAATTATTTGTGAAGCAACAAAATGCACAGAACAAAAACCTATAAAAAATGCAAAACAACAACTATAAACACAATGATTTGCTTAACAAAACAAAATAAGAAACAGCAACAATATCGAGTTCCACAGCAACAAATGAAATGTGACTTTGAAATCGGCTTAACAATTTGTAATTAGAAGCGAAGCGAAAACAACTTGAGAAGTACACACACCCCATTCATACATCAACTCGGAGATTGATCGTATCGAATTAGAATAAATCATAAAATCGAAATATTATTAATCAAAGTTATATAACTTTATATTAGCTGCACCTTTTAAGGGGTTTCTGTCAAGCGCTGCATTTTTGTTCATATTTATTAATACCTTTATTAGATTAATTTACTGTTCACTTGTTAAAACAAAATATATGAATATTAAGCTATATTTAATATAAAGAATTTATCTTTTATTACTCCTTATTAATATAATTTCATTGTCTTAAAAATGAATGTAATTCTGTGGAAAGAATACTTTTACTTAAACATTTCTTAAGCCTTGTTTATAATTAAATATAAAACAGACAAGTATCAAGAATTAACCTAAAATTAATACACATTTTCAAGTATATTTAAACAGTTAATCTAACATGACTCAACTTTAAATTTAATATTACTCGAAACCTCTTGAACTAAATAATTTTCCTTGAACTTTAACTTGGCCATGCATCATAATTCCAACTCCAAATCAAAGATAATCCAAATAAATATCCAAGAGTGTGTATCATTTATGGTTGGGCAACAAAAGTTCGAAGCTGAAATGGAGCTAGGTAGCTGATACCATCTCAATCAAAGATGAATAAACATTTTTAAACAATTTTCAAGTGAACACTCTCTACCCTTCCCCGCATCGCAGCTCAATGTTTGACTTGTACAAATGAATGTCAAACGCCAGAGTCTGAGTCTGAGTAGCAAATAAAATTAGCAATAAATTTAAATAAATAACTGACTGGCGATATTAGATCATACCAAATCTCAGGGGGCCCGTAGAAAAGCATCAAGCTTCGAGCTTCACCGCAGAAAACTCACTCAAAACACTCGAAACGAAACTGAAAATGTTTAGGAATTGGGTAAAAAACACTCAAGAGAGCGGAAAAGACCCACTGGGACCCGATACCAAACGATCTCCGATCCAAACCGATCCGATGCGATGCGGCCAACGCAAAAGTCACCCACACATTGGGTTTTGATTCGGGGAAAGAGAGTGAGAACTGGTTTCTCTTCAATGACGCTGTGTGTTGGCGTTGGGCGAGCGCCAGTGGGTTTCTCGGTTTATTGGTCGCCAAAAGAGACTTCGTATCTGCGAGATACCCCGCTTTTGCCTTTTTAATGCCGCATTTCATTCATTGATCGTTCCAATAGCACACCGCACGCTCAGCGCACCAGACAAGTGAACCCGATCGGATCTCATTCCCCGACTTCCACTTCCACTTCCACCGTAAAGCAACAGCCTCAATGTGTGGGCGATCCCGAATCCCAATCCCTCTCAGAATAGTCACTAACCTGGCTAACGGAGTCAAAGCCAAGTGGCTCAGCTGATGCTGGCTGGCTGGCTGGCTGACTGGCACTCATCTCGGGCGACATTGACTATCGAGATATATCTTTTCAGTGCACAGCGGACAAGCGCAGCAAGCGGACGCAGCGCTCGCAGCATTTCTTTTTCTCCGTGTCTTCTGTCCGGGTTATTGGATACAAGAGATACAGATACAGATATAGATGCCGCTAAAGATACACAGCCGTTCGGCGCGTACTCATAGATATTTTTAGCAGCCGGCCTCACGCATACGGTCCCCCATCGCACTGACACACGCGGCTTGCACGTTTTCGGATTCGGAAAATTCTCCCGTTTTTGTTCCTCAAGGCTTTTCCGGACACTCCCCCTCGGTCCTTTGGAAAATCCAACAACAACAAAAAAACTCCGCGAAAAAAACACACACAAAGTTCTTATCAATAATTAAAACCAAAAAGGTATCAATTCAATTCAACCAAAACAAAAAAAACCACAAACAAGTTTCAAATCGTTTCGAGGAAATAAAACTGAAAACAATCATTTGTTGTTGTGTTAATATGCCAAATTTATGCATGAGCTAAACAACTTTAATTTAAAAAAGCACAAAAAACAAAAAATTGAGAAAAAAGAAGCAACGCAAAGATTGAATATCAAAAATCGTTGGGTGACTAATTAGTTGATACGTCGTCGGAATTTCAATTTGCATACTTTAATGAGCCCGAAATTTTAATAAAATCATCGACAAATCTTAATCAGAGTGCACAGACCAAATTAAAAAAGATACAAAATCTACAAAACTAAAAAAACAACAGCCATACATTGTTGGATTTATAAAATCAAAAAGGTAAATATACCTCTGCCATTTATCAGACATACACATAGAGAGTATAATATGATGGAAATAACAACAAAAATTCTTCAATAAAAATAGACAAAAAGCATTCCTTGGCCAAGAGTGGGTGGTGTGAGGGGGGTGGGATGGCTTTTCGAGCAAACTTCTGAAACATTTATTTGTCCAAGGTGTTGAAAAGCCCGACATGTGGCAGGGAGAGCCATTTTAAGGAGAGAGAAAACTGTCAACTGATTTTGAAAGGTTACCAAACGGAGACCAACAATTTGGCCAAGTTTTGTTATGTGGTTAAAAGGGAGAGCTGAAACATTTTAATTAATGTGTAAACAGAAGCTGTGAAATTTGTTATCAATGAAAATGGGATTGCTGACGCTTTTCTTTGAACTCGTTAAATTTGAAGCTTGGGTTTGGGAAGATAGTTTTGTTATTTGGGAACAATTTAATAGTATTTTATATGACTTAAGATAGTTTGTTATTCCTTAAATGAGTATAAATTGCAACTCAGTTAATTATTTTATAATTTTTTATTATATTCTAATCCAAAAAGAAATAGAGTTTTATATAAACATTTAAAAATTAGAATTTTATCAGGCTTTGAGTTTCTAAATATAGCTACAGATATTTTGATTGTTATTGTTTTTTAATAAATTCCGTACTGTACCGTACCGTAGCAAATATTTGTAACATATTTCCCTTTAAATTTCTAATATAAATTTTATTCCATTTAATTTCGAAATAGAAACCAAATAAAGTAAACAATATGCCTTAAAAAAGACTACCAAAAACGTTCTTCTTTTTAAATCAAGTCACCATTTAATTCACATTTTCCTCATCTAGCATAAAATTTGAAATTAAATTTAGATTATAAGCTCATAGGTTTTCCGCATTTCTATATATAAAAGTATTTTTTTTTTGCCCACCAGATTTGTTTGTTGTTTGCCCCTCTGACCCAAATTACAGTCCAATATGCGGGACAGACTACGTATCTTACCCACTCCCCCACTCTATAAAAAGGCGAAAAATAACAACAACAAAAACAGCAATAAAATAATAGAAGAAAAAAAATAAGAAGAAAAATAAAAATTAGCCAAAAGGCGAATGCCAGAAACCTGTCAAAAACTCAAGCAAATCAAACGCCGATGGGTAATACAAAACCACACAAAAGCTATCAAAATATAACTCAAACACAACCACACGTAGACATTTACATACACTAGAAAAAATTCGAATGGGAAAAGGGAGATATTTTTTATAACATTTTACAAATTTAAATAAATTTCAATTTAATTTAAAGTAGTATATGTAAACTTAAACTAATTAGTTCTAAATATAACTTAGAGTCCTTTAGTTTTGAAAGATCGTTTCAGATTAAATTCAGAGGAAGCAATTTATAAGTTATGATTGTTGTTGAACATTATTATTAAATATTAGTACACTCTTATATTATTATTATTTGTATTGGAATTATAATTATATTCATTGGAATTCACTTTTGTTATCTTTTTCTCAAGATAAATCAGTTTGAGTTAATATCCAAACCGGATATCATTGTTAGACAATAATTTCCAAACATATTTTCATGGAATACGACATAATATATCGAATATATCTATATATACTATCTAGAAGATTAATTTCTTAACTTAAATTTTCTCTCTGTGTATATATATATACACACATATTCACACCGTGACAAAGGGAGCTCCCCGAGTGTAAACACAGTCACATCACACATACGCCGTGTGTGCCAATTTTAATAAACAAACTCAACGTAAATGGAAAATCAAACAAAATCATTTGGCCAAAGCAGCAGAAGCAATGGCAACAAATCAACATCATACAACAAAAAAATAGGAAAATAAAATGAAAAATGAAACGAAACTCAAAGAAAAATAGCAAATAAAAAAATTTCAAAGATGCAAAAAGAAAGGAAAGAAAAAATAACAAATAAGAACTTGCCGCAGGCTGGCTAAAAATAATAGCTGCCAACGGTAGCACACACGAGACAAAAGCCTCAAAGGGGGGCGGGGCGTGGCACGAGAGGGGGTTACTGCACGAGACAACAACAACAATAAAACAACAATAATAGACTAAAAGAACAACAAATGCAACCGTAAAAGCAACAAATGAACGATTTTTTGACGCTTTCCACAAAAATAAAAGAGAGAGAGAGAGACGAAAAAAAAACACAAATTAAGAATCACAAATCGAAAGAGATAAAAAATAAAGAAATTGTGAGAAGGGGAGGGGGATAAAATAAGAAACAAGAAAATATAGAAAGAAAATTCAAGTTGCATACAATAAAAACTAATTTTAGAGCTGTGGCAAAAACAACAACAATAAGAGAATCAAACTGATGCCAGGCACAGGCAGAGCAGAGAAACAATCTGAATCATTCGAAAAGATTCTACAGTTAGAGAGATCTATAACGAGGGGAGATTGAAACATTGGAAATTCTAGAAAGATTTATAATAGCGATTTTTATAGATTTTATTTGGGAATATTAATGTAGTTACAAGATTAATAACTAGGCTAAAGTAAACAGTTTATGGTTCTTTAAATTAAAAAAAAAGATATAGGTATTTTTACACATTTAAAACTGCAAACATATTATTTGTGATGCTGATCTTAAGTTACTTAAAATCAATACTGAACAAGAAAGGAAGATAACTTTGGGAAACCAGAATTTATATATCCTTGCAGAGAACATAATTCATAACTCAGCCAAAAAAGCACTAATTTTCAATCGGAAAACTTTTCTGTGCTAGTTTTTCTTAGTTTAACAAATCTGCATATTAATTTTAACATCTTAAATTTTTGAATTTTTTTCAATTTTTTTCGACAATTTTAACGACTGAAAATATTGGAAAATTTTTGAAATTTCGTTTTTCTGCCTGAGATAGCTAGATCGATTCGCCTGTTTATGCTGATCAAAAATATATATGATTTATAGGGTCGGAAATGAGTCCTTCACATGTTACAAGCTTCTGACTGAAACAGTAATACATAATATTATAATATATAATAATATATTATTATAATAGTTGCAATATAGTGGCAAAAAGATTATAGCTTTCAAAAGTGGAAATATTACCAAAATAATATATTTAAAAATGTTAAAATCAAGTATACGCATCATAAACATTTTAAAACTTAAAAAAGTATTCATTTATAGATCAATTTAGACATGTTAAATTGCTTAAATATTTATGATATAACAAACAAATACAAACAAACTCTAAGAACTTAGAAATAATTTTTAAATAGTTCTTATTTTTTATATTTTATATTATATTTTATTTAAAAATAGATACCTTTCCCTATGCCAACTAAGACATCCACTCTCGTGGTTCGTGTGTCTCACTTTTTTTTAATTTTAGTTTTTTTGGTTTTTTTTTGGCCCAAGCAGCAGACGCTTCATTTTCCATTTAACCGCACCCGACTGCCCGAATCCTTGAATTCTGTTTTCCATTTCCCCCTCCTCCACCCCCCCCCCCCCCCCCGAAACCCCCTTCCCCAATGGCGGGCAGACAACCGTGCAGAAAAAGTTCTAAATTTAATGGCTACACCTAAAAATGCAGCGACTGCAACCGAAACCGAAAAAGTGAAGGGCAGACACGAGGAAGCGGAGGAGGAGGAGGAGGAGGAAGTTTCAAGTGCACTCTCCTACTAGGCCGGGCTCCCCTCCAGTTTACCACCAAAAAAAAAGATAGAGAAAAAAAGGTGTACCTACTAACTTGGGCCATGGTGCACTCCCTCGACCCCTTCACGCCTCGTCGCACGCATGGCTCGCCTTTTGTCTACCTCGTTGTTGGAAAATGAAAGGGGAAAAGGGGAAATGGAAAGGGGGGAGACAGAAAAAAATTTAAAAAAAAACTAGGGTATAGAAGTATATGTTTTTAAATAAGAATGTTATATAAAACAATACGAAAAAGGGAAGCTTTATTGATTAATATGATGAGCTAGAAAAATCCTGCATTTCTTAGCCAATTTAAAAGTCTTGATTACTTTTCAAAGCTTCAAAATTTTATATAAATTCTTTTCCCTATTTCTTCCCACTTATTTCTCCCTGTGTAGCCATGGTGAAAATACTATGTATCCGGGTAAGAGGAACTACCATTCCATGTTTGTTGTCTGCACATTTCAATTGGGCTCTCTTTCTGCATTGTGCCGGAGTGTAATTGAAAACTTAAGCAGAAGCTTCCCAAAACAACAAACCCCCATTTTCCCCCTCCCCTTCACTTTATCCACTTTAAACGCGCAACAAAATTTTCCAATCATCAGAGAATGAAAATCGAGCCTAGCACCCACCATTTGCAGCTTTTCACTCCCCCACTCATTTCCTGCCCGGCTTCCTTCCGGCATATCCTGTGTGTGTATCCTGGCCAGAAAATCAGAAGGCGCGCTTGTTGCTGTTTGTTCAACAAACGTTTATTAGCCGCGAATACTTTTAATCGCATGCAATTTGTTGATTGCGGCCAGTCCGCTGCACTTTCCACGCTTTTCCACCCATCATGAGTACACGGAACTAGGTAATTTTCACATCGTTTCCAGAACCGGGGGTGCAGCAGGTGAAAAGCAGGTGAACAGCAGCAGAAGCAGAAGCGGCAGCAGCAGGTGAGCAACGGTTGCCGCCCCGCTTTGAAGAAGGCGCACAAATTTTTCTGTGTTGTAAACTTAATTGCACCTTGTTTGTTGCATGTCGCAAACTTTGACGATGCCCTTACTCACTGATAGGTCGATGGGTTTGGGGGAAAAATTAGAAAATGTAATAAATATGCTATGAAATATAGAGGAAATATGGAGGAAATATAAATAAAGAAAAATATGTAAGTAATTTTTAAGTTATTTCCCTTTTTTTTAATGAATTTTACAAAAATCTCAGTCATAATATTTTTTAAAAAAGAAGGTCGTTTATTACTAAAAATCAACATAGGTTAAAAATATATCTTTCATACTTGTAAGTGTTAAATAAATATTAAAAAATGTAATAGGAAATACTCATTTTAACTTATTTACCTTCTCTTTTTTATTGATTTTCTGTCTAAGATTCTAGTAGTAAATTATTAAACAAAAGAGTGTCCGGTATTACCTAAGATTAAAATGATCCTAGTAATAAATTCCAATGAATGATATTACTTAAAAATAACGAAGTAGAAACATATATCAACCATATTTTCATATTTTTAATAAATTTGTATCATTCGTTTTTATTGATATCTATCTTAGATTTAATAAGTATAGAGTCAAAAGAGCATATCTTTTTTTTTAATAAATACTTATTCATCATTCATATACAAATTTTCATCACTGATAAAAGTATATAATAAAAAATGCTGTTACCAAATTCTTGGTTATATATATTTTTCTAAAACTGTACAAATTCATCAACATTTTCCTAGTTCAACTGAAAGAGCATGCAATCAGTTGGCACATTTCCAAACCTGAACAAGTTCTGTCTGCAGGGTTTTTAAACATTTCTTAGGGTTGCGTGGTGGAAATTAATTACACCCCAAAGTCGACGGTGAAACGCCAAAGAAAATCACGGCAAGAGTTAGCCACGTGTTGAAAGTCTGCATGCAAAGGTAATTTCAATTGAAGAAGGTATACCATTTTTTTCTTAAGGGGAAATTTGGATTTTACTGGAATCTAAAATCCTCCATTCTCTCTATCACTGAGATACCAAAGATTAACGGTATAGCGGCAAAAAAATAAGAGAGACCTCATAACTTGTTTAGGCCAAGCCAAGAGCGAGCTCTTGGAATATGGTCAAAGCTATGCAACAAGTGTCAAACAGGCCAACACGCCAACAATCCAAGCCAAGCCAAGCCAAGCCGGATCGGGGCAAGGCAACAAGAATTGTCTAGCGCCAATTTCGGACAATCTGCACTAAATTGTCCATTTAAGTGAGCCCGACTAAGGCTAAGACTAACTGGCTAACCGACCGACTGCCTGACAAACTGACAAACTGACAAACGTGAGCTGCTCCCCTTCAGATCAACTGACTGCAATCAATCCGCTCGCATTTACACCTCTGCATTCGGACACAACATTTTCACATTTTCAGTTGCAACTTGCAACTTGCAACTTGCGATTTATGAGGCCAAGGCATCATAATAATGCAAGGGCGTTAGCATCGATGCAGAAACAATTTAATCTATGCACTGGGAAATAAATTAAGTAATTGGAAAAGGTTTAAAATATGCTCTATGTATGTTTTCAAATCATAAAACAATAAGCTTTCAGGGCTTATATATTTCCAAAATGATATTTTCAATAACTAGTCATTTACTCAAACTCACAGTAGAGAGAAAAATGCTCGTTGATCTTCAATGCTTGTCTTTATTTTTCCACTCCAAAAACATCTTTTAAAATATACAACTTTTACTATAAACTATTGAATTTATTTCTCATTAATGTGATTAATAATTATTTCTATGATTTATATTTCTATGTATTATTATATATGATTATATTTTCCTCTCTCTGTATGAAATCTTAGTGTTTGGGAGGTAGAAATGACGTTGCCTGCGTTGGCTTCGTGTTACATTTTCATGTAACTTAATTCTTGCATTAAAATGCATTCATTAACTGTTTCTGTCTTTGCTTTTGTCTGGGTTGCTATTTTTTTTATTTAAACCGCCAACAGCAACCGCAATAGGATTTTCCATGCATTCAGCGGATGGAAATGTGAGTGAAAAGCGCTGGAAAATATTTGGTATAGCTGACCTACCGCAAACAAAAGAAAACAATAAACATCACAGCAGACACACAAGACTTTCTCAAATTGTTGGAATCCTACATTGTAATTGAGTCAAGTTTCGCCCTTGGCAATGATGATGGAAATTTGAAAATTATTGAGACTAAACAATGTGATAAAATATATTATTAGACTACAAATATTATCTGGTGTTAGTATATCGATTTCCACAAAATGTGACACATTTAAACACAACTTGTACCTGTGACACCTTGACTAATGCTTTTGAGGATCTTGTTAAGACAGCTCATGGAGAATATAGAGAATGTCGGAGACGACTCATTTGGGAACCAAAAGTGACTCAGAAACAGAACGAAAAGATACACTATTTACTCGGAATTTCGAGAATTGCGCAATGCAATGAGCAATGGGCAAAATGCTCTGTTTGAAAGATCAATTTGTTCTTGGGGCCTCCGCTCCTAAATTGTATTTATGAGTTTTTGGCCTGATGCGTTTCGTTTCATTTCTTTTTCGTTTCGGTTTTTTCGGCTTCAGTGGGTTTTATGACGGAAGCACTGCTCAAGAGTCGACTTCAGTTCATTGAAGCCAATTCAAGAGCCGTTTACGGAAGTTTTCGGTCCGAAAAAGAACCGTTTCGCTCGATTGACCAGGTCCCCCCCAAAGTTTCTTTTGAGGGAAAAACAAAATTGTTAATTGCCATGGTTTGAGATCCACAACTAATGTCTGCCTCTCTGCACTCCATTTTCAGATGAAGTCCAACACGTACGAGCTGCACAACTACGCCGCCGATCTGAATGACATGGATATGCCGGAGGCGAAGGATTCGCGGAAAAGGAAGACGGCCAGTGCCCGGAGTGGTGAAAAGTATTCCCTAAGACAGAAGCGACAGAAGAGAAATGCCATCGAGGAGTCGGACTCTGGTCACCTGCCTGACTTTCAACTGGAATTGGATCCCATTGTTGAGCCGGCGGCTAGTAAATCGAGGAAAAATACACCCACAAAGGCCAAGACGAAAGCACCGCCATTGAGTAAATATCGCCGGAAGACAGCCAATGCCAGGGAACGTACCAGGATGCGAGAGATCAACACGGCCTTCGAGACCCTCAGACATTGTGTTCCCCAGGCCATAACCGGTGAGGATGCGGCCAATGCCAGTGAAAAGTTAACCAAGATCACCACCCTACGTTTGGCCATGAAATACATCACCATGCTGAGTGATTCCATCCAGGATCCAAGCTATGAGAGTGAATTTATTGGCGAATGCCTGGAGGAGAGTGCCAATCGGGAGGCAAGACTAGATTCCGATCTGGCCGAGGAAGCGGAAGTGGAAGTGGAAGCGCCATTGATACCACCAGCAGCGGTTAAGAAACCAGCCAAGGCCAAGGGAGCTGGCAAGAAGAGCTCAGCGGCTAGTAAGAGGCAGAACCAAAAGCTGGCCAAGACAGTGCCTCAAATTACGCCAATTAGTTCCGGGGAATCCTGTTATGCCACCTCATCCATAGGATCGCCTGCCTCCTCCGCCTATGCCTCGTTATCCTCGTCATCCAATAGCCATAGCAGCAGTAGCAGTCCCGGTCTGGAAGTGGATAGTTTGGTGGGATTACACGGAATCAGTGATTTGGATACTCTCCTCTTGGAAGCCTCCGATGGTGACTCCCTGACCTGCCTGAGTCCTGGCTACGAGAGTCTGCTAACCGGAAGTGGAGAGTCCCTGTTACCCGGATGTCGTGGTGATATACCCATGTCCGGTTTGGAAAAATCAGATGTTGAACTCAGTCTTCGTTTGTTGGATCAGAGATCAGCGGACTCCTTTGACTTTGGCAGCGATCAGCAACCCTCGGCCTGCATTAGCTCCCTGGCCAGCCTGGAGGGTTATCCTTTTAGCGATTTGCTGCAAAGTGATTTTCCCGACATGTTTCTCACGTGACGCGTATTTCATTAGTATCCTTCGAAGCTTCTGTTAAGCCCGTAACCCTCGATTTAAGTAAGCCTGCGAGTTGTAGTCCAACTCTTACATTTAGCAAGCGCCCTTGTGGCGGAATTCATTGTGTCATAGAAAGCAGTTATTGGGATTTATACATTAAATCTGAAGAATATAAAAAAAGAGAGAAGAGGAGCTGCTAACAATCGCCACATCCACATGATAACTCAACTAGTGATCTAAGCATTTCTTTGTGAAGCATTTTCTCGTTATCGTGTAAATAAAGAGCACCAAGTGTTGTTTCATTACTTTAATATCAAGATGGTTTTCCTATTTTTATTCATTCATAAACCCAATAGGCTTGGAAAATTGTATTATGAAGAGAACCCTAAACCTTTGAATCTTAAAAATAAAAAAGACGAGACAGATATTAACCCATCGCCATGATTAAATACAAGCCCGAGATAGACTTTCCCGAGGTCTACAAGGTCTGTCAGTTGTTCACACCCAACGATGATGACCTGGTGAAGGTTAGGGATCTCATGGAACGTGAGATCAAAATGGGACTTAGCCGCGATAATCACGATCGCTCAACGGTTCCGTGTCATTTGAGCTTTGTCAAGGAATTGCCAACGGGACGGGAACGTGGCCGTTTCCTGGCCATCGAAATGATGCCCACCAATTGCCGGATAATGTTGGTCAAATTCAGCAGCGAGAGGGATATATACACCAGTTCCAGATGCGTGATCATACCGCACACTATAAAGGCGGGCAAGGGTACCGAGATATTTACCTATTTGGCCGGCATCCTTGTCAATTTTGTAAAGGAAAAGAAAGTGGATAAGGATAATCTACCGCTGGGAATATCCTTTGGTTTTACTCTCAACAAATTGGCTTTGGATATTGGCTTCCTAGTGTCCTGGACCAAAGAGTTCGGTGCTCATGGTGTCATTGGCAAGGATGTGGTTAAATTGTTACGCGATGCTCTGGCTAAATATCCGGAAGTATCTATCGATGTGATGGGCATCATTAATGTGGCAGCTGGATCCTTGCTGGCCCTCTGCTGGGCCCAACCGGACACAAGAATTGGTCTGATAATGGGCAGCATTGCCAACTCGTGCTATGTGGAGCGATTGGATAAATGTGAAATGTACCAGGGAGAGGAGGATCCCAAAGGGGTCATGATTATCAACTCGGATTGGGCACACTTTGGCGACGGCGGGCAGTTGGACTTTCTGCGCAATGAATTCGATAAGCAAATGGATGTTGAATCCATTAATCCGGGCATACGGTTATATGAGAAATTCAGTGGAGCTCTCAGCGTGGGCGAGTTGGTTCGCATTGTACTTTACCATCTCATGCAAAAGGGTGCCATCTTTGAGGGAGAACGACGTGACTATGTGGCTATTCAATGGAAGCTGGACATGGTCTCTGTGATGGAACTGGCATCCGATCCGCCAGGTAGCTGGACCAGGGCCCAGCAGGTAATGGACAAATTCCGTATACATCAGTGCAAGGACCGGGATATGGCCGCTCTGCGTTATATTTGCACTAAGATCTCTGATCGTGCCGCCATGCTGGTATCCAGCGGTGTTTCCGCACTCATCAATCGCATGGCTCAGCAAAAAATCTCCATTGCCGTCGATGGTGGCATTTATCGCCTGTTTCCATCTTATGCTGCATCCCTCAACAAGTACACCGCACAGCTAACAAATCCAAAATATAAATTCGAATTCGTTGTCACCCAGGATAGCTCCGGTGTCGGAGCGGCCATTATGGCCGGAATGGCTCATGCCACCAAATACAAGACAGATACCAAACTGATCGTTATGGACTACTAGAGCGAAAGGGGTCAATAAATCGGGCAAGGCAAATACTGAATAGTTTGTTTAATAAATAAATATATGTATTTTATAATGAAGAAATGGGTTACGTGTTAACAGGAAGCGCAAACCTTTTTATAATATGGAAACATTATTTGAAATGGTAAACAGAGAGGGAAAATCTATTTTAATAAGCTGTCTGCGCTACATAGAGATCATAATAGCATTACCGTCTTCAAAGGTTTCAGAAGGAGAAATTATTATTATTATACTTATCTTAAGCTTAAGTACTATATCTTCATAATTTCAAACAAATATCAAGTAGAAAACGATAAGATATTAAAACAATCTCAGAAGATAAGAGGGGGTCTCGAAAAATCAAGTATAGGTTAAGAAGTTCCAAACTGAAACCCCATTAAGAATGCTTTGACCTGTCGCTCACACAGGTTTCCAGACCTTTCATTATATCTAAAAAATCATTTGGTTACCCATTCAAAATTTGCTGTCATAGCACCTTCCTTTGGAGGCCGTGGGCGGCTTTTGGGCAACAATGACGAGCAGCATTCACCCGGAAATAGAGGCCGCGGTCAAGAGCTTTTTCCTGGAAGAAGAAAAGTTAGCCCAGGTGGTGGAACGCATGACCAAGGAGCTAAAGATGGGCCTGGCCAAGGAAACGCATCCACGGGCGGCTATCAAATGCTTTGTGACCTATGTGCAGGATTTACCTACGGGAAAGGAACGTGGCAAATTTCTGGCCCTCGATCTTGGTGGCTCCAGTTTTCGGGTCGTCCTGGTGACATTACATAGCGAGTCGAGTTATGATATCGAATCAAAGAGCTTTGTGTTTCCCAGTCTGCTTATGTCGGGAACGGGCATAGAGCTGTTCGATTATATGGCCGAATGTCTTGCACAGTTTTGCCAACAGTTTGGCCTGGAGCATGAGGGATTGCCACTGGGCTTTACATTCTCGTTTCCCTGCCGCCAGCAGGGTCTCTCCAAGGGTGTCCTGGTAGCCTGGACCAAGGGCTTTCACGTCGAGGGCGTTGTGGGACACAATGTGGTGGAAATGCTGCAGGATGCCATCTTACGGCGAGGTGACCTCAATGTCAATGTGGTTGCTCTGATAAACGATACGGTGGGAACTTTGTTGTCCACCGCTTACTTCAACCGTAATTGCCGCATTGGCTTGATCCTGGGCACTGGCACCAATGCTTGCTATGTGGAGAAGACAGTGAATGCCGAGTGCTTTGAGGGATACCAGACCAGTACCAGACCCTACATGGTCATCAACACCGAATGGGGTGCTTTTGGGGACAACGGTGTGCTGGAATTTGTGCGAACCAACTACGATAGAGTGGTGGACAAGGTGACACCCAATCCCGGCAAACAGACATTTGAGAAATGCATCGGCGGTATGTACATGGGTGAGCTGGTGCGCCTCATCCTCATGGATCTGATGGCCAAGGATGTGATCTTTAGGGGTGAGCATTCGGAGAAGCTCCAGCAGCGTTGGTCCTTTGACACCTCGTACATTTCGGAGATCGAGAGCGATGCACCCGGGGAGTATCGCAATTGTAATAAGGTTCTCCACTACCTGGGGATAATGGGTAACCAGGAATCGGACCGACTGGGTCTGCGGTACATCTGCGAGGCGATCACCTCACGTTCTGCCAAACTTTGCGCCTGTGGCCTGGTCACGCTCATCAATAAGATGAACATGAACGAGGTCGCCATTGCCGTTGACGGCAGTGTGTACCGCTATCATCCCAAATACCATGATGTGCTCGAGAAGTATATGAAGAAGCTCCTCAAACCGGGTGCCAAGTTCGAACTTGTTGTCGCAGAGGATGGATCCGGCCGAGGTGCAGCTCTGGCAGCAGCCGCTACGTACAGAAGAGGAACTGAGTATAAATTTTCAATTATAAAGTAAATAAAAGGAAAATTCATTTAAATTCAAAATAATTATTTTACTCAAAATTTGAATTTACTGCTTAGCAAACTGCTTCACTGCTTGTCTTTTAAATTAAGTTGACTGCTTACAAGAACTGCTTAACCAACTGCTTAGAAACACTGCTTGCCAAAACTGCTTTGTCTGTAATATGTAAAATGTTATAAATTAGTGAGATGAATAAAATAAATGTACAAAATGTAAGAATTTATAAATAATTTAATTGCTGATTATTAAATCAAATTACCAACAGCAAAATAAAAGTTTTAATAAATGTTTTTAAATGTTATGTCGACTTAGTCAAACTAGGTTTTTAGTCTTTTATTTTGGAATTGGGCTACTTCGGCAATTTAAAATTTTTTTATTTCTTAAGTCAAAAGCATTTTAAAATAGAAATATATCTATTTATATTTTTAAAAAACTTTTTATTTGTTTATAACATATAAGACAATGGGCTATAATCTTCTTAATTTTTATGTGACAGAAATAGCTTGAAAAAAGCTAAACTGGCCAGAAGAAACCCGATTTAAGTGTGACCAGTTCCCATTTTATGCGACCCTAAAAGTTGGCAGCACTGATCAGCTGTTTATTTGGAAGAAACACGATTTTTGGCACAAAAAATGCAGGATTTGAGAAAATCGGACGCACTGCGACTGCCAAATGGCGACACCTGTGCCAACGACGAGGTTAAGTCCCCATTCCTCATAGGCGTGGCCGGCGGAACGGCCAGCGGTAAGTCAACGGTATGCAAGAAGATAATGGAGCAGTTGGGACAGGCGGAGATGGATCACACGCAGCGCCAGGTGGTGTCCATCAGCCAGGACAGTTTCTACCGCGAGCTGACCGCAGCTGAGAAAGCAAAGGCGCAGAAGGGACTCTTCAACTTTGACCATCCGGATGCCTTCAACGAGGAGCTGATGTACAGCACGCTGCAGAACATTCTCCAGGGCCACAAGGTGGAGATTCCCAGCTACGATTACCGCACCAATTCGCTGTGAGTCCTGACATTCTTATAATGTCTCTAAGTGTTTGTAGTTTGCAATTAATTATTAAATATTTGCTTTCTAGAAGTTTACGCCCAGCTTATTGATTATCTTCTTACTTAAACTTTCCTTCAGGGACTTTGAAAACATGCTGATTATCTATCCAGCGGATGTGGTCCTGTTTGAGGGCATCCTGGTATTTTACTTTCCCAAAATCCGTGACCTGTTCCATATGAAACTGTTTGTGGACACAGACTCTGACACGAGATTGGCCCGAAGAGGTAAGTTGTGGACTTGCAAAGGTACTTCAAGAATATATATTAAACTTTCAATATTCCATTTTAGTGCCACGTGATATCAACGAGCGTGGACGGGATCTGGACGCCGTGCTTACCCAGTACATGACCTTTGTGAAGCCCGCCTTTGAGGAGTTCTGCTCACCCGTAAGCTGTGGCTGCTCCCTACTTTAAAACAATATATTAATTAAGGTGTAACTCTTTTTCAGACGAAAAAGTTTGCTGACGTTATCATACCGCGAGGCGCGGACAACACAGGTGAGGCAGCAGCTGCACTTTTGTACACTCTCTATGTCACACCAAACACACAGTCTTACACCTTGAGCGTTTGTAGTGTTTCGTTGAGTTGGTTACCTAATAACCATAGTTATAGTAATGGTTCTTTCGTTTCTGGTTCTATTAACCCCGTCTGTGAGGACACCAAACTCTTATCACATAGGCTGCTTGAGTATTGACTATATACGAGTATTATATTCTTCCTATCAACATTTCTTCCCCTCTTCGTTTTCTGTCATCTATGTTGATTGTAACTCTTGCGTTATGATTTCCCTTTTGTTCTTGTTTTTGTTTTGTTCCTGTTGTTTTATTGTATTTCTTGCAGTTGCCATTGATCTTATTGTACACCATATCGGGGAGATTCTCGCCACCACCAACAGCGCACAGCACAACAACACAGTCAGGGTGGCGTCGTCCAGCATGAAACGAGATCACTAAACGCTAAGCTCGCTTCTGGACCGGCCACAGCCTTGAGCCACGTCCTCAGCTTGTACTAATTGCCAAAAAACAAAAACAGAAAAAAAGAAAACAGGCGCCGCAGCACACTAAGAAAAATATCCTAATACCGAGCGCCGGCATCGCTTCTCATTCGGTCGTCTCATCGTAACCGATTAACGTAGCTTTAAGATTGAAAAGTATCTTTATAACTAGTTGTATTTACTCTTGCATATGTTCCACAATACATGGTAGTGTGTATGTACGTAAGCTCGTTTCTGTTCATCAAGATAATCTGCGATTCCGCTCCCAGCCTAACTACGGTTCCAAGTTATAGAGAATTATCAAAGTTAAATTATTCTAACCCGGTGCCTAGTCCTAATTAGGGTTTTATACAGGTTCTAAGCACTCTTAATCACAATCACATCCATGTCACACACATAATTATTGTGCCTAATTTTTTGTTAAACCCTCTTTATCTGACTCTAATCGACTTTGTCTGTTTATCTGAATGCCCAGGTATTTGTAAATGTAAATACAAATATGTAGATTTCCTTAATATTTCGATTATTTCAAGAAAGCTTAGTTGAGCAGTTATAATATTCAAAATATGATAACTTTTCACTTCTTAGTTAATTTTAAATATTCTGGACATAACTATATTTAAATTATATAAATATCTCTTAATAATTTATAAACATACCTAACAATTTGTTGAAGCCAGTTGAAACCTCGGTAAATTAAACAATTTACATACATAAAAGACATCCAAAAATAGTTAGAAATTAACAAAATAATATACTAAACCATACACTAAAAACTATTGGATTAAATGTTATAACGCCAGTGGAATTTTTAAGTTATTTTCCATCGCGAGGATTAAATAATAATAGTGGAACCGTATATTTGGTACTCATAGGTTTTTTAAGGACCTTACAAGTTTTTCCAAGTCTCTGGCGTTGTGACACTTATCAATATAGTGTTTTACAAAATTAACATGGTACATATAAGTTTAAAGAGTTTACAGGAAGGCCATCTTCTAATTTGTTAAACATTCCCGAAGTACTGGGCATCTCCAAGGTCGGCAAAGGCGACTTTCCACTTATATAAATATTTCGCAAGCTGTCTCAAATATACAAGATAGCCTAGAATAGCTTCCAGCAATATGTGACGATAAATCAGTGTTTCATTTTGTAAGTACACCAACAGCAGATTGTAAAGCACACTCACTCAAGCCACAAGACACAATAGGTTTAAACACACACTTAACAACCAAATGCCGCCCAGCTTAGATGCGACTAGATAATAGACCCTACTAACTAGAGCTAGAGTAAGTCCTTGGATCGATGACGCTCTTGGAGGAGCAGCAAGGTAAGTGGCTCTTCCAGTGGATGAGTTGCAATGCCAGCAATCTGTGGAGAATGAGATTATCCCTAGACCTTCTGATGATAGTTTCTCCTCCTTTTCAGTGGCCATCGATCTGATTGTCCAGCACATCCGGGACTTTTTGAACAATCGCTCCCGCCATGGATCCACCGGCAATATGGCGCTCTACATGAACCTGGATCTGAATGCCACGGGTGCCGGATTCGCGGGCCCAGGTAAGGCCAGTCGCCTCCACAACCTGCAGCACAAGGCGCGTCCCCACTAACCAAACCCTAACTGGAGCGGATCACCCGGATAACTAATTAACCACTGCATGCGATCGGGCCGTTGCTCCGCTGTGTATATAAACATATATAGTACCTTCTGTTATGCTTTGTGTTTCCCTGTCGAAGATGGAACCGAGAGCCAGCACGGCACCTACAATGCCATCCGGCGATTCTCTACGCTCTGCAAGGAGCTCAACATGCAGGGCAATTTCTTCTTCGAGACGAACAAGAACCTGCCGCATCACTGAGATGGTCTTTCTTTCTGTGGAATCCCTGGAGAAGTACAAGCCAGGTCGGCTCATCTGTAGGCAAATGTTAAATATTTTATATATTGTACCCATAGACATATTTTTTTCAGTAAACCCGATTTGACAGGAAAGTGTGATTTTAGAATGGAAACTTGATAAGTGATAATGGGATATTTATTTTCATTAAACATTCATATATAAAACTGAATTGAGGATAAATGTCAAAAGATTCCTGATTCCACCGTATATTTTCCTACATCTTGCACTTGTACATGGCGTTTATCTTACGCACATCTCCGGCGGAGAAGCCACGTCGCTGTCCCATCTGGTTGGCATCGGCACTGGGACGCAGAGCCTTCAACGTCGGCTGGCCATTCCGGGTGAAGCTGGTCGAAGAGTAGTGCATCACACTGGCATAGTCATAATCCACACCGAAGCCCGACTGGGTCCTGGAGCTGGCCTTCTCAAAGTTGACCATCATCTCGGGCTTAATGTTGTCGCTCATCACTCGAACATAGGCATCCCGTTCGTGGCGATTCTGCTCGTGGAAGAATCCCAAGGCATGCATCAGCTCGTGAATCGGAGTGCCATATGTTCTCAGGCAGTTGGGTGACTGCAGATTCACCTCCTGACGCCCACCCAATCGTCCAATACTGCTCCAGCAACCAGACTTTCCACTGCCAATCGATATGTAATCCTTCTCAGTAGTGCGGGGCTTGAAACGCACACAGGTTCTGGTGTGGTATTCCTTTAAAGACATCATAAGTTTTGCATTTTAGATTAGAAAATATTTTTCAGCTTTACCTTAAAGGCATGATTAATGTTCCCCAACTCCTGGGATGTAAAAGGACCCTTGATCTCATATGGCACCACGCCACCCGGCCAGCGGGAACTCAGCGCCAGGATACCATTCCTTGTGCCATTGGATCTGGATTCAGTATAACTCAGAGGAATGAGTATATCTCCCTCGTAGTAAGTGCCCAGTTCCTCAGGATTCTGGGCGGACTCCTCGTTGTGAGCTTCGACTAATGCACCTGTTGTCTCCACATCTGGATTGCCGAATATGGTGTCCCCCAAGTCGGTCAAGTCAATCATCTCCTCGGAGTCCATATCCTCCAGGGGCATGGAATCTCCCAGTTGAATGCCAAGTAGGACCAGAAGCCAGAAAATGTATGGTTTACTTTGGAACTTTGCCATTTTACCAAGTTCTTGTACTGCTGTGTCTGCCTTTACTACTACTGGCATTATATAGTCTTACCTAGACCTCCAAAATTTGGCGACTTGTTGTCGGCCTTTTTGTTACACTAATTTTCTAGCTACTTATGCTGAGTTTATTTCTTTTTTTAAAGATAAGCCAGAGCTTTGTAGGCGGTTTAATTTGCATAAAGTACACACTTGCATATCCGCGTGCCTCGTGATTTATGTATAATTTTATGCATTCCACTGTAATTTGCCAATTTGTAAATAGAATACAGGAATTTTCGCACATTTTTCTACTAATTAAGCCAAGTTTGGCACTTTTCTTTTAATTTTCTTACATATCTTGTAAAACCCATTGTTTCCCAGACATGACACACATTGAACTTATAGAACATTTATTTAGAAGGTTCTATTTAATAGTATTAATGAAATTAAAGAACATGATATTCATATGTTATGGTTTTATTGATCTGCAAGTACAAAAATAAACAATCAAAGAAAGTACATTTCTTAAATAAACATTTATGTTATACTTAATAAATCCATAAGTCTGCAAAGAGCTATTTTCGTTGGCGTATTTAATATTCAAATCTACTTATTGTTCAAAAAGACTTGCTTGCAGTATTTATTTGTAAATTATAAACTTAAATACGTTTGACTTACCAACTTTTCATTACTTTTTAAATAATTTATCCTTTTTTGAAGTACTTTAAATCTGGCGGTAAAATGTAGTGCGACCAGATGCAGTGGAAACAACAAATCTTACGCTCTCACAAACGGCCGCCTTCGGCTCGGTTCGGCATTGTTCGGCTTTTGAGAAACCTATATATACAGGTGTCCGCGAGCCATTCGGAAAAAATTTTTTTGAAAAAAGCAACGGCGTCGCGTACCGCTCCGCGGAAAAATTATAAATTGAAAACCGTCCAAACGTTTTTTTAACGTTGTTGGCTGTTTGGCTTCTTGTGCTGGTGTTGGCCAATGTGTGTGCGTGTGCGTGAGAGAGTGCTGCAGTTCAAAAGGGCAGCAGCAACAGCGGCCGAAGCTCAACTCTCTTTTAAGCCAGCTCTACTGCGCGTGTGTGTGTGATTTAGGGTAACAGTTCTTGGCCAGCGTGAAAAAATGCGAATTTAGATTGGCTCAAAGCGGAAACGGAATCTCTGTGCTCAATATTCAAATTCAGGCTAGAAAGTGTCGCGTGCGAAAGTGTGCAAATAATACAACTAGCGAATAAAAAAGAAAAATAATAAAACTGAAGGAAACCTGTTCTAAGCCAAGTGCGGCAAACGTGTCGCGCGTTCGCGTCTGTGTGTGTGCGTGTGGGAGAGGGAATACAGAGAAATAGAGAAGAGCAGAATGCAATAAATAATAATAAACAAAGCTCAATGCCCAATGAATCAAAATCAACTGAATGAAAATTATTAGCCAAAACGAAAACCTTAAAGCGAAAACCCTTTCCAATACGATCATGGCGGCGGGTGCGTCACCAACACAACGGCAACAACAACATCAACAGAGGAAAGCAACAGTAGAAACAACAACAAGAACAACAGCGAGAAGTCGGGACCGCACGAAAAGCGCAGCTCAAATTACGACGCCAACGTCGTCGTCGCATTTGCTCAAGCGCGCCATTTCAGTTTTTTCGTCGCCTCAATGGATACCGCTCTTCATATTAATTTATTTAGCAACAGGTGAGAGACAAATATGGAGCTAGTTCAAACAAGAGAGAGAGAGAGAGAGAGAGAGAGAGAGAGCTCTGAGAGGACATTTCCACTCCACCGTATGTGTGTGTGTGTGTTGTTGTGTTGTGGATGCAGGGGGGAAAAGGTAGAGAAGATGGAGAGGTGGGAGAATGCAAACAATTGCGTTTAAACGTTCTTGAAACAGTTAAACCTCGGTAAAAAGAACACTCTTAGAGTAAATTCACAAATTTTTATGCATTTTATGGGTTCTATTTATTTCCATTTTAACTAAGTATATAAAATCTGATTCTGATAAAGATTTAATTAATGTGTTAATTATATTTACAATGTTTAACTAATGGAAGTTATACTGTACAAATATTATTTGCTGAGACACATGCGTTTTTTGTAGTAAACATTTGCTGATGGTTTCAAAAAAAGCTCTCATTCCGAAACAAGAGCAACAGGTCACGTGAATGTATATGTGTGTGTGTGAGTCTTGGGATGTGGCCAAAGGAAAAGTCATTTTGGGGAAAGGAATTTCCATTGATTTCGGGCATCCAAGAAACTTGTTGAACGGGTTTTCCTTGAAGAATAGTGACTCATGGCAATGGTATACCTGAAGTTTGAGTGTGTTAATTATCCACTCATTTCATTTTATATTTGATGGTTGTGTGTGCTGTGTTCTTATCGCAAAAATAAAAGAAATACTTGAGAATCTTAACGTCAAATATATTAGCTTCGATCACGTATTTATTTATATTTAACTCGTAGAAATTATTTTCGGTTGCTGGGCTGGGTTATTAATCATAATAAATGAAGAACAAGTTTAGTAATATTAATAACACGTTATTTTTAGTTTTGTCAGCAAAAACCAATTTTAATAATGGTAGTTAAATTTTAACCTATACCTTAAAAGAAGTCTGTATCATTTGAGGCTTAAGTCAGCTCAATATAATAATATTGTGTATGGAAACTCACTCATAAGGGATTTCTAATTACTTTTCATATTAAATAATAAACCCGGAAACATAAAAATATGTAAATATGCTTGCATTTTTTACAATATCTGTTATTTCATGGAATCTGCAACTTTCAATCTAATTACTCGCATAATGATCACTTTAATTGATTCATAACTCTTGCTGACTCATTGTGTGTAATTATCAGTTAGTTACATGTTGTCCGAGTCTCAATTCGGCTGCTTTCTTAGCATTTTCTGTGCCCATTTTTTTACCGAATTGTGCAAAAACGACCTAAAAAAACAGAGTATTTATTTACAATACCTACCATCCGACTGTTGTTACGCACAATCTTATCTTTTGGCCGGAAAGTAGAGTAACAACAGTTGCAAAAGCGCGACCGGCGCAACGTCAGCAGACCGCAATTCGATAAGGAAAGCCCACATAAAAAAGGAGACAGAGATGGAAATAGAGAGAGTTTTCCTTTCCAGTTCGATGTCGGGAAAGCCCTGAAATGCACCAAAGAAACTGGTTTTCACAGCAGCTTCCATCATAGAAGAAAATTATCTACCTTTCAGTTAGAAAGGGTTTTCGGCATTTTGTTCTTTTAAAGAAAAGCTATTTACTTTTACATCAGCCTTAATTTATTTATGGAAAATGTACTCTAGTTCCTTCATAAAATGAGAAAAAAAACTTTAAAATCAAGTTGTAAATAGAACAAGGTTAAATAACCTTTATAATATAATGTATTTAAATACTAACCCCAACTGAATCTCAAAAAATCCAATACTCCATTCAAAGAGATAAGAAACTATGGGGCTATATTTTATCAGCTATTATTTGACTTTGCTTAATGACTGACGGGGAAAACTCTCAAAAGAGTGAAAAGGGACAAACAGACAGAGGTTTTCCATTTCAACGTTGGGAAATCCCTGAAATGCATCACAACCACTGTTTTAAAGCAGACTCCATCATAAAATCCCGATGATCATCAGCGTCAAACTTCACTTCGAGAGCGGTGTCTATCTGGTTTTCCTTAGAATTTCCGCCCTAAACACAGATATAATCCATCATATTCAGGGGAAAATCGCGGCGCAGGTACTCTCTGAAAGAAAAAAGTGGAGGGAATACATAAATTAAGAAAACTACCTGCATTGCGTTAACGATAACAACACGTGACCTCGCGGGTCAGTGGAAATACACATAAATGGGAATCGAGAATGGAAATTGTATGCGGGATGGGCACACCCGCGTTCTCCGGCCTCCGGTGTCCGGTCTTTTGGCCTGGTCAAGTGTTAAAGTGCAATCGGCCGTGACATGGGCCGTGTTCCGCGCTTTGTGGGCCTACGCAGCCAGCCGGCCGCGACCATTGCCTGACGCTGGCCATTAGTGCAAGTCGTTAGCCAGCTCTATAAAAATAGCCAGTATAGTACTAAAAAAGAACTGATTTGTCCCCAGTCCCTAAAGGTTGGAGGGATTTAATAACCAGTAATCAAAGTATAGAGGGGTATATGTAGCAAGCAGGAAACAAAATATGTGTCCTTTTCTATAAAACTCCAGATCTTGATAGTTGTTAAAGCTACAGAGCTGAGTTTTGGGATGTTCATATCCAAAAAGTGTATCTTGCGATGGGTAACTTACTTTGTAACATATAAGACCAACTTTTTATGGATTTCTTTGAAAGAAAACATTCTCTCATAGGGTATATTATGGTCGAGACCTTTGATAATATCATTCTTACTAGTTTTTAGTTACAACGTTGCCAGTTTTCAGCGACTGCATCGATTAGCCCAGCCACCTTGGGAATTTACCACGACACAAAAAACCGCAAATATGAGAAAATCAGGGAGAAAAAAAAACACAGACATAAAAAAAAATAAAAACGATATTGCCGCTTTCGCTTTTACTTGCTTTTATTTTACAAATTTTCAACCAAACAAAATGTTTAAAATTTGTGGGCGTTGTTCAATGCTGTCTCTTGGAGTGTCTCTTTATCGCGGTGATCACGTAGTTGCGTTTTATCTGTCGCTATTTGCATACGCAGCGCGTTGTTACCAACAACAGCAACAAATTCCATTGTTGGCATTGACTCACAACAATACCAAATACGATGGGCTTAAAAGCACAAAAATCGAACACAAATTGTTTTGGTAATTGTTGTGGGAAATTAAATGATAGTTCTAAGGCCAATTATTGTAATCGGAATGCGTGATAAAAGTTATTTTTTAGTGATTAGAGGTGGTAATTGTAATATAATGAAATATTGGAGTTACATTTTTAAAATATTGGCATATTTATAAAAAAAAAAAACCTGATATTAACCAAGGTTGTAGAAATTATTATACTTAAAAAAGTAGTTAAAATATTATGGCAATGTTTTTTAATGATTCTTTCTATATTTTTTTAATATCAAAACTTTTCCCGACAATGCAGTCTTTTTCTTAATGCATGAAAATAGGAACTCTTCTTTAAATAACATGACCTTATATTTCTCCTTTGCTCTTTTAAAGTTCTCCAGAGAGTGTAAAGTCATTTCCTGATTTCATATCCACAGTATATAAATGTTTTCATAATTACTCATAGCTCTTAATTTATTTTGTAAACCTTTTCATAGTGCAATGCCCACTTGGCTGCGTTTCAGCCGCAACAGTCTGTGTTTGCCCAGACTGAGTTCTGGCTGTTGGTTCCGAGGGTTCCATGGGTTCCATGGGTTCCGTGGGATCTGGTTGGTGGCTGCTCTTTGGGGACGCACCGGAAAAGATTCTCAGGCGTGTTTTCGGTTTTTGTTTTGTTTTATTCAACACAGTTCATTGCTTTGTGCCAGTTTGTGAACGAGTCTGGCAGCCCCTTTTTCCAGGCCCACAGAATGTACAAGGGCCGATTGTTGTTGGCCACAAAACTGGTTCCCAGGTGCGCCTGCGCAGAAGAGGCTAAAAAAAATCAGCGGCGCCTTAGAGCGGGGGAGGGAGCGAACTCTATTTTTGAGTGTGCTCAATTCTAAGCATTTATTTTTGCCTGTCTGTAAGCCTGAAGATTCAGTTAGCTCTTCCCAGAACGAAGATATTAAAGAATAAACGTTAACTGTTTGTACGTGAATGAAAAGTCGCACAGAGACACATAATATAGTCCAAGAGTACTTATAAATAATATACAGAAATAATAAAAGCACCCAAAGTCACTCAAAAGAATGTGAACAAGTCACACCTAAAAACTAAGAATTAACAAAGAATGAAACAACTCATTTCCATTATAAGATTTGTATTGTTGTCTTCAAAGTTTTTGCACTCGTGTTGATATCAAAATATGAGATGCTTTGATATTGCGATTATTCAGAGTTCGTGCCAATTTATTTTTATTTCTATATCTTTTTATTTCTGTTGAATGTGAAATTGACACACTCGACTTTTTCAGTGGGTGCGGGTTTTGGGGTTTTTTATTGCTGCTAATCTCCAGCTGTCATGGGAAACGTTTATTTATCAAAACTAATTAGCTTCTGACCACTTGAATGTATTGTTACCACATTGTATTATAGAAGCGGTTTTATTTAAATATTTAAAAATATTTCCTCACCGCATTTCTTGGAAGTTAAAGCGGAAATTAGTGTGGGAACATCTCAGTTTCGTTTCTTGGCATTCTCTCTGATCTTCACAACAAGGTGTTGGAACAAATGATTGCTCTAACCCGAGTATTCTTCGGGTCTAAAGTGCAGTCAGACATGGAAGAGCTGAAAATGTGTGTAAGGTTTGCTAGGGAATAGAGCATTGGACATGGGAACGAACTAATCTTGGGAAGAAATTAGTTGCCTTTCAGGGAACGCAACAAAGAATAGGGATTATGCACCTTTGAGGCGTTTGTTTATCGTTTAGCAGAGGTGGAAATGTGCAACAAAAGTTTTTACCAAGTTAGTTTTTCTGTGTACATCTTACAGCCATAAAGAAAAACTCCCAGAATCTATGAATATTTCATGGCGGAAAGGTATAATAGCTATCCATTTTTAGCTCTAGATAATTAACCATTAAAGTTTCCGCCTAATATATATTCAACTTT